CATTTTTATGTATGTCAGAAATGCTTGATATTTGCTGTCGAGTAGCTGCTTCGATTAGAATTCAATTATAACATATTATCATCTTACTCACAAGATTGCTGATCAGAATCAATTAATCTTGACCTTTGAATTAACTTGTTTTCAAAGAACGAGATAAATTAATGGATTCATTTCCGAATTGTGAGAAGTATATGCTAATAGTTACGACTACCATTTAAGTGATCAGTAAAGTAAATGAAATGGTCAATAATAAAATAGATAAATAAACAGTGAAAATATTAAATTGTCAGTAATACAATGGTCAGTAACTAATTATAAGATGGTCAGTTTTTTATATATAAGTATCAGTGAAAATGCAGATTTCATCAGTAGAAGAAATAAGTTTATTCGTATAAAGATTAATTCAGTATAAGAAAAATGAATTTAAATAAATAAAGGAAACGCAGAGTAAATAAAAAGAAGTCCAAAAGATCATTAAATAGAAATACACAGAATAAGAGGGGAAAAGGAAAAAGAAAATTCAGTTATTGCACTATCAAGATAGGTCTAGGCATTCGCAATCTACCGTTTTTTTTCTTTTCTCACCGATCTTTATTGTTTTTGCTAGTGGTAGTAGTTTGCCATATTTCAAATGAATATATATACCGACAAGGTGTTTGAATGTGTAGTTCATAAACAAGAGGTGAATTACATTTTGACGCTTTCCAATCTGAACCATGTCCCATTTCCAAACGCCAAATATCAAGTTATTTTTTGAATTGATTTAAGGTTGTCAATTTTGTGTTTATATATTTGTATAAATTGGCTTGTATGATCGATTGTAAATCACGAGCTGGAATACAACATTGCTTTGAAGCATCATTTGGAAGGCAAACTACGATTTTTGTTGATTTAGTCTATTGATATGATAAATTTCTTAATTCTATAGATATTGTTGGTTCTGTAGCATATAATTTTGCGTAATTAAGGATGAATCTTGTTCAATTGATCGAGTATTGAAAATAATTCAAGCCATTGTCAAAAATATCGATAAAACATGACGTACTCCAAATGTTTCATCTTCTTTGATTGTTTTATTAGTCGCCTCTAAGACATTGTTTGTGAGGGGAGAGCAGGATTACACTATAACACATTTCGATTTTTATACTTATCCTTTAATGTAATTTAATTTACTGATTTTTAAACATATTCATACACTCAATCATTTTAATAACTGACTATTTAAATAATTTACTGCTCATTCAGTTTTTACTGACGATTCATTTATTCCACTGACCATAAATCATATTTCCAATAGCTACTAAAATTCTCCAATTATCTATTGGACATTCGAGAACACTCAACATTTCATTCAAAAGAAACTCAAAATTCATAGATGCAAACGAAACATTTATATCTCATGCATTTATGTAAGTGTAATCCAACGATACCATTTTGAGTTGGTAAGTCCAAATTTTCACCTCCCTTTCTAAGTTCGACTACAGATACACTTTAAAATGATGTTTAAACTCTTACTTACCCGCTCATACCCATAAGATACGAAATGAACGTGTGAAAAAAATATGTAGGCATGAACACATAGACTTTTGTTATATTTTTTTCCACTATGATTGACGATTTAACGTGTTATCATGATCAAAAACGTCATATCTTTTCTCTTGAAGTTGTTCATTATTTTAAGTTGTTTATTGCACTAAATTGACAAATAGTTTTACGTGGACATGAAAAAAATACAGAGAAGAATTATCGAAGAAATCAATGTGTTGGATGAAGAGAATCAATTTTCTTAGCAAATTCAATGTTTTTACTACCTTCTGAGATCATAAAAAGAAAGTAATCAGTGGTTAAATTATAGTCTTAAGAAAAAGACGAACATTAATTTCTGCTTACAAATTAGTGATAGAGAAGATACCATGAACAAGACAGAAAGATTCTTTTCTTTCTAAGTTCCATCGATTTCAAATATCTGGAGATGCTAAAAATCAGACTATTTCACTTCACAAGTAATGGGATGTGTTATTAACTATTCAAAAGCTCACATACAATTTATATTTTCAAAAAATGTTTTTTGTATCGCTCTATACTTTACCATCATATAATCTATGATTTTGTTATCTACTGTCGTTTTATAGGTGCTCAAAATCTAACGATGTTCGGTTTCGTCCGTGTCAAAGACTGGTTATTGAAGATGAACTTGTTCCGAAAAGAATCTTCCGTCAGTCAAATGGAGAAATATTATCCAATGGCCATCGTTGCAAGTCGTATCTACATCATATTATTCATTTCATGCATTCTCGTTCTTGTAATCTTCAATGGTTTGAGTCAGACAGCAGTCGCTGTTACTATACAATCACCATCGCTTACTACTTTCGAACAATTACAAGCGAAATATCCAACTGAACTTTCGTGTCCGTGTAAACACATTGCCATAACCTATGGCAGTTTTCTTTCAATGATAGCCTCCTATCATCAGGTAACACGAAGAATATGAATAAGCATTCTTTTGTTGAAAACTTTCAATATCAAACATATTTTCTAATCTTTGATCGACGGTGAATCTATGTAACCAGAAAACGTAGGTTTTGTGGACTGAGTAATCTAGTAACTTCGATTCGTTGTTATTAAATAGTATTGATATTAAAACAAAATTTCCTGAACCTTGTTTTTCTAACACAATCAAGAAAATGGAAAAGTCTCTCGTCAACCGTTCAATCGATAGTAGCAAAGAAAAAAAGGTAGTTACCTGTAGTGCTTCTTTTTTCATTCGAATATCAATATGTAGGGAGAAGAATGCTAGACTGTTGATGTCAACGAGTTGAGTACTGGTAATTATAGAGCTATCAAAGTAAGTTTGAATTGACATCAATCCAATGTGCGAATGATATTGACAAAGTTTTATATTATTAATCGAGCCATGTTGCACAACTTTTTATGTCATTATCGAATCGAATCAAAATTTGGAGTAAACAAGAAATCTAAGATATGCTTAAAAACTCCCACGAATTTAGCTTTCTTTGATGCTAATCTTTTCGTGTAGAGAATTTTTTTTGTATTACAGTCTTTCTCTTAAGAATAGATGATTTGTTTATACAATTCAGGTGAAAAGTTGAACAAATAAAAAAAAAAGACAAAATTAGAATTTCCTATGGAATCATATTTTTTCAATAAAGTATTGACTAAACTAAAATTTGAAGATAGAAATAAAGCTATCTACATATTGATTATTCCATAAGAATCAGATATTATCTCAATAAATAAGTTTTCCTACTTCTTTATTTCTTGAAGAAACCTTACGAGTATACACAACAATGTTAGATATCAAGTTTCTGAATGTTTTAATAAATTTGATTTGGTTTTGAGCGAATAAGAAAATGTGGATAAACTATCTAGAGTAAACTACTGTATGATTCATTTTTGAATGAAACTTTTAGTATTTCTGTTCTTGAAAAAAGCTAAAGTTGAAAGTTAAACATAGCAGTTGAAGAAAACTGTAGGAAACTAATTAGTGGCAAGCAGCGTAACATGTACGTAGAAATGTTTATGTATAATTCACGCAAAAAACTGTTTAAAATAGAAGTTTCTAAGTTTTTGGATTTTAGTTCTTTTTAATGTCAAAATTAATCACAAACTTGAATTGAGCTGAAAATGCTTTTCATTATCTAAACAATTATTTGTAAAGCATTATCTCGATACTATTACCAGGAATATTCAAGTATGCGAAAAGTTGAGCACAAGCACTTAGAAATACGTCACAGCTTCTGTTAGGACTACGATGACAAGTTGATTTTGTATATTCAATAATATAGTGAAATGAAATCAACAAGTATTGCAAATTGCAGTGCACACAGACTTCGATGCATTTTAGGCACCATATCAAATTAGCAAACGAATGGAAACGTTCGCATCACATCTATAGCCTTAAATTCTGAGAGGATATCCTTGAAGCACGTTGCACTTAAATTAATATGTGTATCTATCATATTTAAGAGTCCAAATAGGTATAAACTTAGAGATTCAAATTCAAATTACACAACAATTTAAACATAATACATTAAAGATTTATTTTGTTGATTTCATTTTAGTCGTAATGCATATATATACATCTTTTTTGAGAAGCATATAAACGTAGATAGATGATCGAGCAAGAAAGCGAAAAAACGATAAAATAGAAAATAGGGCCAACGTTACATATGTATATCAGCATCATACATAAAAATAAAAACAATGTAATTTGATTTCTGATTGGATAGTTTCAAGCTTGTTATAAGCCAAAAAATTCTTAATCTTAGCCAATCTAGTAATTCGATGTGTATATAAATAGGTTGCTACTTGAATATAAGCTGTAAGTTATCAAAACTTGTCGAATCTATAGCATTAATATGAAAGTAGCGAGCAGATAACACATAATACATTCAAGCTGTACATTATAGATAAAAAATTCCTTCTTTTTTGGTTTTCTAATATAATTCGCGTATCCTAATCTATGTTTGTTTGCTCAAAGTAAATATATCGTAAGATGCAATATATCCCATATTTTCTCACTATATAAAATATATTAATAAATAAAGAAGACATAATAATAGAAACAATAAAACGAACAACTGGAATTCAATTGGTCACCATTGCATGTTTGTAGCAGACATCTTCTTGAAATTTTCTAAATTCGCCAAGATTGTTTATAAAACCAAAAATTCATTTTAGTAAAATACAATATGATAGAACTATCAAATAATATAATAGTAATAAAATTAGATTTTTGCCCGTAGAAATACACAAAAATAGAAGAAAACTGTCAAAACTTACATAATCGATTTGTTCTTTTACATTTTCATGTTATTTGTGGATTGTATCAGACTTAAATATTATTTTTTCTCAAGGTCTGCTCAAGTGCATTTATCACTCCCATATGGACAACATCACTTTATGGTTATGGTACGGAAGTCAAACTATATCTAGAGCTCGATCGACCTTTCCTTAGCAGGCAACATCAAATATTAGGCATGCTTTGTGAAGCGTCACAATCGATTGTCAACAATACTCTATTCAATTTTAACGAAACAATACTGGTGACTGCTCTAGTATTATCACGAGCCTCCTTTAAATCACAGATTGAAGTCATTATCAGTCAATTAATTGATTTGGTACCGTTAGATTTTCGACGCACAATTATTTTTACAACTGAAGCCATTCAAAGTAATTTAATTCCGACGGCCTTCAATACAGATTGGTTTATTGAATATGGAAATGCGTCAAATGACTATCTCTTACGATTTATACCGCGGTTCTATAATAATGGTACATGTAATTGTGTTGTTTCATCTACTTGCCAAGAGCCTTTACAAATAGGCCCTCCAGATCTTATACTGCCTGGTCTTGTTGTTGCTTGTTCACCCATCAACGGTTTACGCATGTCAACATTTGAATGTATGTTCTCATCGAATTGTATCAATACGATCCTCCGCTACCTAAACTACTATACAGAGCTAGATGGATCACCACCCTCGAATTTCACTTTGCCTACAGTACTCCCTTTTGTTGTTAGTCCACTTAACAAATCGATTCCATCGCGCTTTTCGCCAACTACACTGATCGGTTCTGTAATTGACGAACTGTTTATTGAATATTGGCAAAATATTAGTTCATACGAAAATTATTTCGCTGCTTGTGAGCCCATTCTATGCCACTATGAATATATTCGACGTAATGATGCATTGTATGTTGCCACATCTTTACTTGCTTTATATGGTGGACTTACGGTTAGCTTGCGATTGTTCGTATGGAACAGCATTCGCTTGTATCGATGGATAAAATTTTCTGGTCACTTTCATCACACAACGGTTGCACCACGAATAAGCACAAACTAAATTAACATAATGGCTACACAGATTCAACTGATTGTGCGAAATTTGTTTTTTTTTTTGGATGAACTTCGAAATATGCTGACATTCTCATTATAGATTCTTGTTGTTTAAAAATGTATCACAATCTTAATCAATAATATTTAATCTTATTTGTTGTAAACTACTATTTAAATGCTTTATTGTGATTCAGTCATATAAAACTCAAGATAAACACTATTTTACGTAATGTTATCAACTATTTTCATGCAAACTTGACAAAGTTCATTGAAATCTTCATTTAGTAAAACAAAAAAACTCTTAATTCAATATTGTCTTTGAGCTATAATGATGGATAGTGAAGAAGTCTTTTTTCTAATAATTGACTATTTTTCATCAATACCATGTATTATAGCAGAATAATCCTTATTTTATATATATATATATAAATATTTGTATCATTCAACAGCATTGAACTGTAATTTGTAAAGATTAGTAGTTTGAAAAAGATTAGACAGAAGAAGCTGATCTTCTTCATGATGACCATTTTCTACAGTGCATTCTATCGTATTCTAATTTAAGTTAAATGCATGGAATACCAAAGATTCAATTGCTTGAGTTGAAGATTTTATTGTAGATAGAACTCATAGATATATGCAACTGTAAAAATTTCAGTTCGATCTGTCAACTCATTCAAGAAATATTTAGATTACAAAGTCTTGTATTTCTGAGACATGCAATGTTAGAGTTTTCAAGAAAAAATTCATAAAAACTCAATGCTTAAATATTTTTACAAATGATTTGTGAGTCTAGATGTGAGAATGTAGAAATGTAATTGAAGACAAGGTCTGTATCTGCATCGGTATCTACACACACACATCTTCCGACACTAGTGGCAATTTGAGCATCCATCAAGTAATCTTCTTTATAGAGTACATGTTTTGATGTTTTGGTTTATTATTGAATGGATCGTTCAAAAAGGGGTAGACGAAATGTTTTACCGATGGATCTTTTAATTGATTCGATGCTTTTTCAAGATCTACTATCTATTAATTCATTGCTGTAGTTTGGCTAGACTCGAGTCAGGTGATACAACGTCTATCGCACATAATGAATAAGTCTGTTTTAGAAATAATAAAAATAACGCAAAATTTTTGGGGTTTTATCAAATCAGTAATATTCAGGTTTTCAAAAAATAAATAATCAAGTTAAGACTGTTTTTCCAACGACATAGCAATTTTCATCAATAGCATCCTCATATAAAAGGCAGTTTCCGTCATTGTTAAAACGTTTTCGCAGTAATTTTCCAATTTTTTCAAACTGTCACTAAATCCATGTAAAATAGATTCTTATTTGTTTCATCGACTTACAAACTTTATTCCCAATCAGTACAAAATATCTGCACCTATCAAATATTTTTTTAACAAGATATGAATTGAATTTCGAACAATTAAGTTTTAGAGACTCAAATTCAATTCATTTTAATAAAACTTTTACGATAATCTTCGTTGATTGAAAATCCTATGTAAATACGAAGATCATGCACAAACTTTTTCTACGTAGTTTCTACTATCGAAAACATCAGTTAAAAATACAAGAGTATTCAAGTGGTTTTTATTGTATTTCTCATTGAAAATTCTCCAAAAGCAACATATCTCGAACAAATAACACGATGCGGTTTTCATGATTATCCTATTCGAGGTTATACAATCAACTGTGTAGAAGAAAAATAGTTCGAACAATGCTTTCAACCGATCGGATGAAATAAATCGAAGATCGCGTAATTTCGCTGTGTTTTTGTAAAAGACGATCTAAAATTAGTGTTGACATGTAGGGGTAAAAATTTCGATGTTCATCCCCTTCGCACACATTCATGAGCGACATATCTATGGAAATGTTACAGACTGTGGTTGACTTTGTTGATATACTATTACAAAGCATATGTCAATAATGTCTCTTTATAATATATAAACTACTTCCTCATTGCATTTCTGGAGGATTAAGTAAAATCATGATAAAGACATATGTCACAAAATAGGTAAAAATAACAATCTCAATGTGATAAGCAACAACAACTACATTGTGTTTCACATTTTAATCACACAGGAATTGTACTAATAGCTCTTTCTATATAAACATTTATCTCATTGAAATCTTATTGCTACTCATATAAAGCAGTGATTCATTGCATTTTAAGAACGCTTCACATGTCCTAACTGACTGAAAACCACCATATTAATGCTAAAATACTGTAAGCAACATTGTTGCTATAGCAAATAACATTTTATCAACATTCATAAGTCTTCGAATGTTTTGAATACAATTCTTACTCAAGTTGACTTTTCATTTACCGAAGGATGCTTGTTTGTAGAGTGAAAAGGAAAGACAAACTTATCAAACATATAAAGTACAATATGTTAGCCATTAGCTAAAATAATTGTTTTCGCTTTATAGCATCTTTGATCACTCAACCAATATGTTTTATGTCAAAGATGCATTCTCTATTGACAGATTCATTGAGACTATATCGGCTTTATAGGACTTCAGACAAGACCGAAATAATAACATGATTATCGTAATTCAGTGACAGGATTTCTACTTGTTTCGTGCTTTATAAATACTTTTCGTTGTTTGAACTTTCCCATTATGCTGCATCTTCAATCTTTTCCAATCAAACAAAATCTTTTTTGAACTATGTGTGATTTCGTTTTATATAATATCTTATATACCTTTGAATGACAGTTAATCCATTGGATATGTTGTTCGGTCAGTATCACCTATTATTGACGGATATCTACACTTACTAGATATGTGCCAGTTCGAAAAGCTTTCTTTAGTTAAGGAGTTTCTTTTCATTTTTTATTGTTATTATTCT